TAAACAGTATAGAAATCTTTTTATGTATATGAATACAGTGGCAAGAACGCTACTTGCCCAAAAATGGAAAGAAGAAGAAGTCCCGATGAAAGAAGAATGGATACAAAAACTTATGGAATATGCAGAAATGGTGAAATTTACTGGAAAAATAAGAAATCAAGATAACAAAATTTTTATAAAAGAATGGAAATGGTTTATTGAATATTTACAAACAAACTGTAAACAGATAAGGACATTGGCAGGATTATTGTAATAACTTGCAGTTTCATAAGAGCATATATTGTAATAACCTGCAGTTTCATAAGAGCATATAAAGTAGATGGATAAAAAAATAAGTCAAGTTAATTTAGAATATGCAGGAAATATCCAAAATAAATTTAAGGGACTGCAGAAAGAGGAGAAAGGAAGTCGAGTTTTGCAATATTAGAATGATTGTAAAACTACTGAAATGTATATAAATGAAAATCATAAATAGATTTTAAAAAACTATATGCCATTAAAAATTGTACTTTTTGCAAAAGAATCATATGGTTCAGGGTTGAAGTATGGGTGGGGAAACCTGTAGCCCCCCTGTTGTTTTTGTACGAAACTTCCCATCATTCCTAACCATTTTCTATGTTAAAAACGTGTTTATGGAAGACAGTCCTACTCGGCTACAAATGATCGCCAAAGAAGAAAGAAGGAAGAGGAGGAGGAGGATAACTGTCAAGCTATTTATTATTTCCACTTTACTTTAGCATTAAGTAAGGTCAAGATCATATTAAATTGTTTTAAACTGTTTTTAATATTGTGTTTTAATTGTTGTAACCCACCCTGGGACCTTCGGTTGTAGTAGTAATAATAATAATTATAATTATAATAAATAGGGGGAAGTTGATCTTATAGAAACTCCTTTGCTCACCCATCATAATGGAAGTAGGCTGCACATTGTATGAGAACATGATCCCCCCTCTCTCTCTCTCTGCAAAGAAAATGTAAATATTGCAAACATTGCAGTTATCAGTGAGCTGCTTTCACAGCAATTCCAAGATGGTTAACTGTAAAGCTGCTCCACGCCCCCTTGTTTTGACACATTTGTTTTGACAAAGTTGGAGTTCCAGCTCTTGTTTCTTTGCTCGGTTTAGCTCCTGCTCAAATTTCCCCACCGCACAGTTTCTTTTCTCATACAGCAAATGCATGACCAAAACAGAAGTGACAGCAGTGAGTGCAGAAGCAACAGCAGAAAATCCCGTTCAAATGCATTGATTCCTGCCAGTTCCCAGATCTTGAAGTCAGGGGTGACATTTGTCTTTGCCAGGACAACAGTTTGGTTCACTTTGTGGTTCGCTCCAAGTTAGAATTTATATGCTTGCAAATCCCTTAAATGGGATGTTGGATTTTAAAAACATTGTATTTAATTGTTGTTTTTTCAAAATAGCTCTTCTTTTTTAAACGTGTACAGTGAAATCCTATGCATGTCTGAGGACAACTAAGGCCCCATTTGATTCAACAGGACTTACAACCAGGTAAGTATATTTTAGGGTTGTCTTATTTCAAAAGGTGAAAATCTGGACACAGATTTCTTTTGTTGAGCTTTCTTTTTCCTTTTGCCAAAGTTGTTGAGCTTTTTAGAGTTTTTGAGCTATTTTTAAGGAAATTCAGAAACATCTAGACTTCCGACATGGGTTGTCATGCATCTAGATTTTCCCGGACATTTCAGCAATTTCTGCCCAGATACTGCTTCCGACTGCCATATTACTCCTTTGTCCAGGTAATTCCGGGTGTGTGGCAACCCTAGTTAGCATTGCAGGCTCAGTAACAAATATATATAGTAACAAGTAGGACCTGCAGCAAAGCATTGCAATGTGGAGGACTTCTGTCCAGAATTCCAGCTGTGCCTGTTTTTAGGGCACACCATTCCATTCTCCCACCTGACTTTTTATGATTTTCCTCCAGCTGTCCATCAGCATTCCATGATCACTGAACACAGTCATCATTTGACTGTTTTTTTAAGACTGTTCCCCCCGCCTTATTGTCCCCATTAAAGGAGGGGGGGAAACAGCACTGTTGAAATCTTCCCTATTGTGAATTGGATGGTTTCACTTTAGCTATATAAAGATCTACACTGAACTCTGAATTTTAGAAATAGAAGAAAAGATTATATTAAATATACATTTTTTACACCCCCAGGCTTATGGCTCAATAGAAAGACACTTGCTTTGCATGCAGAAGGTCCCAATGATCAGAAGTAACATGGCTGGGGCATTGGCAAAGTCATGATGTTATGACAGCCACCTGTCCTGTCCCAGAACCAAGCTACCTACGATGCGATTGGTCAGTTCACTGAAGCCATGCCTATTGCTCAGTCAGATTGCTAGTTGCATTGCTAGAATGCTCCACAACATCATCCAAGTGACCTCAGAGGGCATTTCAATTTCAAATATTCTGATTATTTGTATTTTTAGTTAAGTATTTTTTTATTTCTTTACTTGATTTAGGGGAAGACTGCTGCTCCCCCTCTGTGCCCCTGGCTACACCCATGGGCTGGGGGGTGGGGAGAACCCTGTCCAAAACTTTGGAGAACCACCAATCACAGTACACAGTACGAGCTTGACAGACCAATGGTTCAATTTAATGTAAGGCAGTCTCATATATTATCGCTGCCACCATCATCACCACCATCATTTCCCTTTTACACAGTGATATCAAGGCAGTGTAAAAAAAACAGCAAAAACAACAACCACCATAAACCAAAACCCCCAGTTAAAATTTAAAAATACAAATTTAAAACAAAACAAATACAAAATCAATGCTCATGGCAAAGACCCATTCCTCCAGCTGGGCAAGCCAGTCCCTGACTCCCCCCCACAAAACTCAAAGTGACATACTTGGGGCTATCTATTGGCATGTTCCTTGTGAGACAGGATAGGCTAAAAGGTTCAAGGTCAAGGATTTAAACTTAGCTCTACCAAATTCCAAGTCTTCCACTTCACCACACCAGGATCTTCACCTAATTAACTGCTTTCACAGAAACTGATTTATGGCTACCTGATCTTCAGACATACCATGTTGTGTTGGGTGTGTGTGTTTTGTTTTTTTACAAGCATGTTCGACTTAAAAATGAAGACATATGTTGGTCGATTCATAGGATGTATATATTTCCTCCATGTCCAATGTGCACGCATCACTCAGCTCTTTTGTGAATTCATGGGAGACCTTATACGGCGCTGTGTGCGGCTTGGAGTCTACATAGCAAAGATGTTAATGTTAAAAACAGAGACTGTATAGTACAGGCAAGAAGCTGCTATCACCACTTCACCAATGATGGGCATTTCAGAATGCCTGCAAGCCTATCACTTGTGCTGTGAATTGCTAACTAATAAGAAAGCAATAGGTGTACCTGGAATGAATGTGAAGTTCTGTAATCTAGCCCACACGATGACTTGTCTCAGATCTCATGATGACGGACACTGCCAAGAACACGCAGATGAGGTCTGCTGGCTCACCCTCCAGTGAACTATGCACTGCCAAAAGCAAACACATCGATTAAATAGCTACAATGGGTTTTGGCAAAAAGAGTGACCCAGAATGCACAGGGATAACAAATATTCAAAGCTGTTACATTCACCTTTTAAACCCGCTTGACTTAACTGTGTATGGTAACAAGTTTGAGCTGGAAACAAACAGCATATGACAGCGAGTGGGGGGATTTCTACTCCTTCTCCATTCCTAAAGGTGGCATTTTAGAAGAACACACTTGTACTTGTTCTTTATCTGCAAAGTACAAAGCATGAAGAAGGGACTCGTCAAGCTACTGTATTTAGCAGTATTTAATTTATTGTTAAATTTTATAACTAAAGTTTACTACCTAATGTTTAGCTTCAGAGCTAAATTCGATTTATTACTCCATTTAGCAAACTCACAGGTGCAAAGGTAGGTGGCTAGAAGTTTGTGGATCTTACTTGCTGAGGTTGATCCAAATGCTTTTGATCCATCTTTCAAAGCATTGTCTCGTCTGGTATTTTTATGACATCTGGCTACACTTTTAAAATGGTAATAATAATAATAATAATAATAATAATAATAATAATAATAATTTTTATTTTTATTTATACCCCGCCCTCCCCAGCCAAGGCCGGGCTCCTCAGGGTGGCTAACAAGCAATAATAATAAAAAGTTGAATGAATACAACTTAAAAACAAGATTAAAATACAACAATTAAAATACTGAAACATTAAAATATTAAAATGCAGCCTCATCACAGGAGGAGAAAGGAAACGGTAGTATTTGTTTAAAGAAAATAAGAGGGATAAATGGGAAAATAATGTCTGTAATATGTGAATCTGCATATGCAAAACAAAACAAAACAGAACCCAGAAGCAGTTTCTGAACCAATTTTTTTAAAAAATAAAAAAACAGTAAACTAAAAAAAAAATTCTGCAACTTAAAAAAAGAACAATTTCAAAATTATAAATGCCACCTTTGTGGGAGGAAGACCCTTTTATCTGGCATTTGAAAGGCATAGCTGTACAGTGTTTCAAGAGCAAGCATGTGTCCTACTTTATAGAGCACAATATTCCGGTCAAAGGGAGGACAGTCCTCTGTTTGAAAAGCCCTGTATTTGAAGGTCTAAAGCTGACTATACATGACTTAGCCACAATCCACACCAATCCTATAATTTATTGAAAAATACTGTGTTTTTGATACATTTCTCCCCAAACCAGCTTCAATATGATTTGAAAACGTAAGCCATATGAAGACATTCACGTTGCCTCTCTTGGAAGAAAGTAGGCAGGTCACCTGTTTACAGTCAGCCCACTATGTTGCAGTGTATTTTGTATTGAAATTATAGCAATTATTCCAAATTTGCATCTATGCATATGAAAATGCAAAGCTGTATCCTGCTTTGCCCTCTGTTTTAGTAAAATGGAAGTGGTCGTCATCCTATTACTCCCTTCCTGCGGCAATCCACACCATTAAAAATGGATTTAGCTTCAGGATGGAATCTGCTAAAGGCACTCAAGTGTGTGTGTGTGTGTGTGTGTACGTACGTACGTACACACACACACACACACACACACACACACACACACACACACACACACACACACACACACACAGAGAGAGAGAGAGAGGCACTTCCTTGTTAAATTATTACTGTGTTACCCTGAACTGTAAGTGAACCCGTTTTGCTTGTAAAAGAAGCAGCTGTTCTTGCAATTGAAACCATGGTTCATTACAAACTGACCTCGAATCCAGGAGTAAAACTTCCTCCCCTTTTACTACAACTATTCAGACGTCGGCTAGTTATAAACAATAATCAAAATCAGGATGAAACCTGACTGGAGGGAACTCTGTATACTTTTTTGGCAGAGTTACAACAGCTCTTGTATCACCGAGGGCGATACAATGTTAAGTGACCCTCAAACATTCCCTTCTCAAATGTAGTAAGTCTGTGCTGCCAACTCTGGGAAAAACAAAGGCCAATTGTAATGAATCCTTAAGCATATAAGTATAGAAACACTAATTAACACATTTTTCACATTAAACATTTGCAGAGGTTCAAGATAAAATGGGGTCCTCCAATTGTTTCCGTTGTATAACATTCTGCCTGCGATTTGAAACTTTGGAGGGTGCACAGGTCTTCCATTTGTTATCGTGGCTCTCTTATTTTATGTCCAATCATTATTAAATATATCAAAATATTACGAGTACAGTGGGACTTTCTGCCAGGAAAAAGCATCTAAGATTGCAGCCTTTATCTAGTTACGCAATTCCTAAAATGAGCGCTGCCTTTTAGAGGGACATCAAGTTTGTTGTCACTTTATAGAAACTCTTTGAAAGTTGAGTCAGTCCATTCCTTTGTTGTGCCTGAGCCAGCTACTGATATAGCCTCTTCCAATCTGCCCAGGCTCCATGCTATCTTGACTGCATAGATATAAAAGCAGAGATCTGCTAGCATTTGCTGGTTTATCAGGGAGCCAAAATCAACTGCCCCAGAGAGTTTGATGTCCAGAAATGATGAGATCACGACACTTGCTTGAGATACTTGTGGGCACATTTGGTCTTTTGAAAGAATGCCCTGAGCATATTCCTCTCTAGTTGCTTCTCGCCCCTTCCTCTGGCTCACACTCCCCACTCTGCCACCAGGAAGAGTATGCACAAACACTTTGCTTTTCCATGGGATCTGGGCGGGAGTCAGATCCAGTAGAATTCAAATGGATCTCTTTGAATTTGCATGACTTTACAGTGAATCGGTTGGGTTGAACGTCTTCTACAAATAGCACCTCCAAAATACCCATTCATTTATATTGTTTGAACCACCCACTGTACTAACACATTCATAGGATTTTTATTTACATTTTTTAAAAAAATAAACTGATGGTGCTTGTATCATCAAAACACTATCAAACCCTTTGTCACATTAATGCAAAACTGAACAACATACACAACGTGACAGGCTGTATGTTATTATATGAATTCTTTTTTAAAATTCTTTTTTAATTCTTTTAAAAATACCATTCAACATGTCATATCAAAATATGTGGTTCTGCAGACCAACTTATCATATAAACAAAACATATTGTAAGAAATTAGTGTCTAATAATAATAATAATAATAAATTTTATTTATATCCCGCCCTCCCCAGCCGAAGCCGGGCTCAGGGCGGCTAACAACAATAAAACAGTACAAAAGTACAGCATAAACAACATTCTAAAATCATTCATTATAAAATTAATTAATTCAAGCCACTGGCAACCATTGGGCCAGAGCTCCGCGAAGGTTGCCGAGGGAGGGAGTCAGGCTGTGCCCTGGCCAAAGGCCTGGTGGAACAGCTCTGTCTTGCAGGCCCTGCGGAAAGATGTCAAGTCCCGCAGGGCCCTGGTCTCTTGTGACAGAGTGTTCCACCAGATCGGAGTCTAGCAGATTGACTAGGAAATACAATCTGTTCAGTTCTTATGTTGGTCTTGTAATGTTCCACATGAAGATGCTTTTAAGAATTCTAGCATTCTTTGTATGCAGGTTTCAGACGAAAGACTTAGAAGAGTGCCAAATACCGTATTTTTTGCACCATAACACTCACTTTTTTCCTCCTAGAAAGTAAGGGGAAATGTCTGTGCGTGTTATGGAGGGAATGCCTACGGGTGGCATGCCTACGGATTTTCCTCCTCTAAAAACTATGTGCGTGTTATGGTCGGGTGCGTGTTATAGAGCGAAAAATGTGGTAAGAATTTTTTTAAAGAATTCATATAGTTACAAACAGCTTGTCACGTTGTGTATGTTGCTCAGTGCTTGTATCATCTGCAAAGTATATAAACAAGCCTTACAAAGAAAGGGCTAACAGGAGGAGGGGCTGGGTGATGGGGGGTGAGAAGCAGAGGTGTGGCAGTGGTAGTGGTGCCACTGGTATTGCATTGAGAAGTGGGAAACTGAATCGGAACTTCAATGATACTGTGGAAGTTGATACTCCTGAGAAAGACTTTAAGGAACCTTAAGGAAAGGCTGTAGCTCAAAGGTAGAGCATCTGCTTTCCACGCAGAAGTTTCCAGGTTCACACCCTGCCATCTCTAGGGAGGGCTGGGAGAGACATGTATGAAATCCTGGAGAATCACTGCTAGTCAATGCAGACAACAATAAGCTACACAGACCAAGGGTCTAACTCACTGTTCCTAAGGGCTGCATGAAACCTTCAAAATACTATGTACACATATAATATTATAGTGTGTGTGTCTAATACCTGAAGCTGATTGGAGCTTCTGGAGACATCTTGCAAGAACCTGGAAGCTACATCTGCAGCCATGCACCCCCAGTAAGTGAGGTGTCAGCTGGGAGAGGGAGGCAGCACCTTTCTGTGGGGCCTCAGGCAGCAAAATGGGATGTACCACCCCTGCTTGCGCACACTCTTTTTGGAATCCTTTTGTGCTTCCCAAAATGGTACATCTTACCATTGCCCATGGGATAATGAATAAGGTCCCTTGATGAAACCATCTGAAGTAGGCAAGGAAGAGGAAATAAAGGGGGGAAAGTAGAGCACAGACCTGCTCCTAGGTTATGATTGCAAGGTCTAATTCATAGGATTTCCTTACAAAACATTGCAGTACAGGAAGTGAGGAAACCACCACCTTTAAAACATAGCAATGCTTTCCATTGGCATCACTTATTTCTGAGATACAAGAAATCACAGGGGCCAGACTGAAAATATGGTTATTCCCACAACTATCTTTCCACCCATCAATCCTCCAAGTGATGGGCAGGATAGAATGGAAAGTTGTCATTTCATTGACTAGCATCACACGATTCATTGTATTCATTGTATTCTGGAGTGCCATGGGAAAGCAATAGGGCTATGCACTGGCTTTAGACAAATCCCAGACCAAAAAACCAAATTGGTCAATCTGGGATGTACCTGGAACTGGTCAATGTTGCCTTGGTCCGCCCAGAGTGATCTGGGGCTGCCGAAACAGGAGTGGTTGACTGACCATGTGTTTAATGGGTGCTTAAAACCCTAATTAAACATGTGGTTAGTAGCACAGAGAAGGGTAACAGGGAGAGACACAGGCAGGGACTTTGTCCTGTCCTCCCCCTGCCACTTCCACTCTGCCAACTGCATGTTTAATCTGGTTATGTGGCTGAGAGGGAGTGGGAAAAGAAGACTCAGGTGAACTATGTTGGGGAGAGGGACATGCACCCCCCCCCAAAGCAACAAACACATGATTATTCAGGAAGGCCAGTAGATTGGAGAGTTTGTGCCTTTGACTGCATCACACCCATATAGCCAATCCCCACCCTATTTTTTCTCCATTTTTAGGTTATTGTGAACCCTAGGGCTGACTAATCTGCATTTATTCATGGTGCTCTAGAACACACCAACTACGATTTTGGAACAGGTCCATCACAAACATTATGGACATGATACAGGCCGTACATTCATTATGCATGCCTCAAATATGCACTTAATCACAGCAAAGCTCCGCTTCATTCAAAGCCTCTCTGTTATAACAAGGGACATGATGAATCAGCCATCTTGTGGTACAGACAGTGAGCCTTCAAACAACTCCCCCTTTCAGATTCACTGAAGGGCCACTGAAAGGCCAGACCAGTGGACCTGTCGGCAATAGTGGAAGGGACCTGCCAGAAGTTCCTCACTTGCTTTATGAGAAACTAGCCTTCTCCCACCTTCCAGTGTTTTTAAGCCAATGCATGAAGTCTTGACAATGGCTGACATTTAGGAAAGCAGATCTAGCCAATTAGACAAAGGACAGGTCAGGGTGACAGATACATAATCTAGAGAAAGAACTTCTTGGAGGAGGAGGAAGATTTGGGTCTTCTCTGGTGGAAAACCAATCACTGCCCCATAGTGGGGAAAACAGATATCCAGGATTTTAGTGTATCTGCCATTGTTCAGTAGTGTGCCTAATTTTTTATAGATATAAAAAAACTACTGAAAGCCAGAGAGGCATGATCTTCCTAACACAGGTCTTATTTCACACGCCAAATATGTGCATTTTTCAGAGCTTGAAAACATTTTAAAAACATTAGTGGAAACAACCAACCAATGGCAGTTAAAACCATCAGTACAAAAAACAAAAAGACAGAGCCTAAGATGTGAAGTAACCAATCAGAGAGTAGTAAAAACAACAGCAAAGTCCATTCATAGTATAGTTGTACCTTGGAAGTTGAACAGAATCCATTCCAGAAGTCCATTTGACTTCCAAAACGTTCGGAAACCAAAGCGTGGCTACTGATTGGCTGCATGGAAGCCCCGTCAGACATTTGGCTTCCAAAAATAGTTCACAAACCGGAACAGTCCGGGTTTGCGGTGTTTGGGAGCCAAAACATTCTATAACTAAGCTGTTTGAAAACCAAGGTATGATTGTATTGTTAAAATACAAACGGCTCAAACAAATAGGACCAACTTTTCCCGCTCCCAAAGAAAAAAAGAAGGTCTTGCCAGGATATCTGTGTCAGCCACAAAGAGAAGGTTTGGCCAAACCATGGTTTACTGAGACTGTACAAATGTGAAGGCTCCAGGGGAGAAGTTCACAGATGCTTTGCTCTTCTTCAGTTCATTTTACTGCTGTGCTTCACTGGGCTAAGCCAAGGTTTGGCTTAGTGTGTTGTCGTGGTTAAGCTCTCTCTTGGCCACAGCTTGTGGTTAGGTCTTAGCCATAAGTCCAGGTTCAGCACAGCATGAAAGCAAAAAGGACTAGGGTGAGTAAGCCATCATTTGGCTTCCTATGGCATGTGAACCAGACCAAGAACTGCTTCCCTTTAGAGGAGTAGAGCAGAAAAGAATTCTGGAAATTTCTAACATGATGTCACTCAACATAAGCCTCTTTTTATGGAGGAAGGTTAGGTAAGGAAGATACAAAGGCTGTGTACACATACCTGTTGACCCTGATTTGGGAACCATCTACTGTACATCTCTCATATAGGCACCCTGTCATTTCTTACTTGCTTTTCTGCAAACCAGCTTCCATCCAAATTGAGAAAAAGAACTGCCTTGCTGTATTTTAAGCATGTAATGTGTACGCAGCCAAAGTATATGAACAGGACAGATATGAGGGACACTTTCCTCAGTAGACTCTTGCTGCTTGCCTTGGTTTCTGTGATAGAAAGCTGGAGTGCTGTCCATAAGTTGAGTGGTTCTTTAATATTCTGGAAATATTCAATGCTTTGTGTCTATAGTTCCATAAAATTTAATCTGCTTTATGAAAAGGGTGTGTAAAAAAAACCAAATTATTGAATATGAGAATGTTCCCTGAAATTTTGCCTGAAGCAAAATTCTAATTAAATTTGGAGTCACCCTATCTGATCCCTAAAATGTCATCCAATTTTGCATAAAGTGAAATTTCAATTTAGAGATTCTTCTTCAGGAAAGACATCTGAATAATTTCAGGTGAAAAGATCAAGGGTGGGTTTTTTTTAAATTTTGTTTTGTTTAGAACCACCAATGATTTAATATTATATTTTGCTCTTAGAACAACCCAGGAATGTCCCAAGAACTTATTCAGTTCTTCACCAGTATTTCAGTCAAATATCCCAGGAAAACATTAAGGATTTGCCATTCAACTTCAATGCTGGTTCCAATTTTGAAACTGCAAAAAGGTCTCGACTTTTCTCTCATTTTAATGCAATTCACAGAGATCCTCCGATACAGAGGCTCTCCCTCGGAAGCTTTCCCCTTCGTCCTTCCTTACAACAACAAAAAATGACAAGAGATGTATTTGCTACAGACATCTGTTAGGCCAGTAGCGATGCTAGGATGTGTTTTCCCCCTGCAATATTTACTGGGTCGAAAAGTGCTTGTCTCTCTGTCTCTCTTTGACCCCAAACCTTGGCAAATTCAGCAGACCATTTTACTTACAGTAAAAGCCTTCGTTTCATCTTCTCCTTCAGCCAAACAGAGGGCTTCTCTATGAAGAATGAAAGACTGGTTCTCTGAGGCTCACTTGACATAGGAATGAACCCATCAGATATGGAAGGTAAAGACAAAGAGTGTTAAAACAGGGGTGAAATGTTGCAAGGAGCGTTTCCCCTTAATGAATTACTGGGAGATTTGTAGCAGGCCAGCCGGGGGAACTCTTTCAGCATGTGTATCCCAAAGTGTCATGGGCTCGCTGCACTATATCCTTGCTGCCCTTTCCATGAACTGGGCAGTTTCCTTTCACCAGCTGATTTCCACTTGTATTCTAGCAGCTGTCTACAATAGCAGATATTTATCTTAAATAATTTGATGCCTTTTTGAGAATTTGTGCCAGCAATATTTTTTTTAAGCTTTAGAAGGAAATAGCCAATCTGGGTGCACCCGGGTCATAACAAACTGAAAAGGGAAATTCATGAGAGTTGCATCGCTCTCCACGGACAAAGAGAACAGTGCAAGCAAAGTAGTAGCTTTTTGCAATCAACTAGCGTTCAGAAGGCTGGAAACAAGCTTCCATGTTCCACAAAACTCCTCTTCAGCTGTAAGCATTCACAGCAAAAAACTATGCAGAGAGCGAGTGTGTGTGTGTGTTACATATATACATCTGTACATCTGCATATACATTACATGGACCATTGCTCCATGCAGTTCAGTGTTATCATTTCAGACAGGGATCTCTCCCGGCCTTAACTGGAGAGGCTGAGGATTGAACCTAGGACATTTTGCATGAAAAAGAGATGCTCTACCACCGAGTGACAACCTTTCCCCATGTATACATACATAATCAGTGAGAGAGAGAAGTCGACATTACAGTCGTACCTTGATTTTCGAACAGCTTAGTTCTCAAACGTTTTGGCTCCTGAATGCTGCAAATCTGGAAGTGACTGTTCCAGTTTGCAAACTATTTTTGGAAGACGAACATCTGGCGGGGCTTCCATGGCTTCTGATTGGCTGCAGGAGCCTCCTGCAGCCAATCAGAAGCTGCACTTTGGTTTCCGAACGTTTGGAAGTCAAACAGACTTCCGGAATGGATTCCGTTTGACTTCCAGGGTACGACTGTATAATATTGGGCAAGTGTTAAGTCAAGTGGCCTAAAAACCCCAAAATATAAATAGTTTTAATGGAAAGATGGAGGGGAAGAAAGACAGAAAGTGAAAGACAGCTTCTACAGGATTCATTACCACTCTACCATGCTGCCAAGCCAACGAACTGTCATGGTGGATTGAATGGTATGAAATGTGAAATATATTGAGTTGGGTCCGGACTAAGCTACACTTAGATTGCATTGAAATCAACATGAAAAGTTAGGGTGGTATCCAGCTAATTTATTCTGCCAGTGCAAGGATTATCCCCACCTCCTCACCCATGCACCTCCTCAATCCATTCTGGGGGTTCCCCAACCCTCCACAGCAGCTTTGGGGAGAGTGTGTGAGGGGTGAGAGGAGAAGGGCAAAGTTCCATTGTGGATAGAATGGGTAGTTGAATACTCCCCTTAATCATTACTTAATGATAACCCTACTGAGGTCAGTGGGAACTAATTGCAGGGGACTCAACTGGATTGGTAAAGAAAAAGCATTTCATAATCGGACAGTATGTGTACTTTCCTTTGTTTGTTTGTTACACAAGAAAAACTTTAATAAAAATGATTTTTACAAAACTTGTAACAATAACTATAAATCAGGGATGGGGAACCTGTGATAGGACTTTGATCTGCACAAAATCAGGCTCAGGACCGGCCCACCCATGAAGTGAGATCTACCACTTGGTCACCTCAAGCAGTAGATCTGGCCTCCTCTGTCCCTGTTCATTGCCACCTCCTCCACACCCAGTCGTTCCCTTTGCCACAACTTGCCACCACCGCAAAAATTACCTCTTCAGGACAGTGACATGTAGAGGCAGAGGGAGCAGCCTGGGACAGAAGAGGAGGCAGGGGCTTTTTCTGTTTGCCTGAAGCAATGAAACATTCTGGGCCAGCCCTGATCAGCCCTGATCTCATAGTAGAATCATTCCAAAGTCATGTGACTGGGATGTGGCTGCACACATAGCATTCATTACTGCTACTGTACAAGTTTCCTGTGGCACAATGGGTCTTTGTGTCTGGCTGTGAACCAGAAGGTTGGTGGTTCAATCCCACCTAAGGATGGCCAAGGGCAGGGTTCCTTGCATTGCAGGATAGATGTTCCTTGGGGTCCCTTCCAACTCTATGATTCTAAATGCTGCTCCATTGTCACATACAGATCACATGGATATAGGCTAAAATGTCGGGGGGGGGGCATAAATGGCTTTGATCACACGTACATGCAACTGTTAAGGACATTCCCCACACAAGGAGCACAGAAATGAAACCTGCCATTTCCCAGGTCAAATCTTTCAGATGAGTAATATTTAAACAGTAAAGGTGAGGGAAAGAAAAAGTCATGATGCATTGCTTCCCAGACATCAGCAGATTGGGAAGGTCAAGTTCACCTTAACCATGGTATGGGTGAGATCTGGCTGCCTGACATAAAATAAAAGGATCAGAAGGTGGTTCTTTGCTTTCTATATAGTCTGGCAGACTATATAGCAAAGCTGTGGACTGCCCTCTCCATAGAGGTGTGTCTCACAAATTTTGCCATGTACTGAAAATGCACCTCTTTACCCTGCCGTTTGGCTATCTGTCTTTCAGTCTGTCTGTCTATCTGAATGAAGCCACCCTGTTTTAATCTTGTGTTTTTATGCTTTATCATTTTAAAATATGTTTTATATATTTATATATTCAGGCTTTTATAATCCGCAGTGGGACCTGATAAGGAAAAGCAGGTTTTAAAAAAATGCAACAAAATAATAAACAAACCAACAAACCAAAACCTCAAAGAGCTATTGCCAAGGCTCAATCCAGTAGAGGGCAGACTGCCAGTCTCTGGAGTCTTCTGTCTCAGCTGATCGCCCTTGATGTTGCTTCTGGTTTATCTGCCCTTCCTGAATAAGCAAGCAGTGAGAGGAGCGAGAGGACTAAGAAGCAAGGCCAGCCATTTGCACACTTTGTCCTAGGAAGTGTTGTCGATTGGGCACAGAGGAATAGACAAGCAAATGTGCCATAGAAGAAGAGGTAGCCACACAGAGAGAGGGATAATTTCTTCTGCAGATGCACCCCCTGCAAAAAATACCACCCCTGGAATCAGCTCCGTACATTCTTAATACAGCATCGCTCTATAATTTTTCAAATGCATATTCCTGTAAGACAGTCAGGTTGTGCATCCATAGCAATGACCAGAGGAGGAATGACGTCTGAGAGGAGAGCAGAGAGGAGAAATGCCATGGTGCATCTGCAGCAGCACAACTGGACACCTTCATCTGAGCCAGTGTGAGCCAGTGTGAGCCAGTGTGGTGTAGTGGTTAAGAGCAGTAGTCTTGTAATCTGGGGAACCAGGTTCGCATCTCTGCTCCTCCACATGCAGCTGCTGGGTGACCTTGGGCCAGTCACACTTCTCTGAAGTCTCTCAGCCCCACTCACCTCACAGGGTGTCTGTTGTGGGGGAGGAAGGGAAAGGAGAATGTTAGCCGCTTTGAGACTCCTGAAGGGGAGTGATAAAACGGGATATCAAATACAAACTCTTATTCTTCATCATCTGCCCCAGCTGCAACAAAACATGTCTTATCGGTCTCTACAGCCACAGCTAGCACTGTAACCTTCCAACAGTTTGACTTCACCCCAAAAGGCACACTCCTCCGTTGTCTCCCAAGACAGACAACAAAACCGCTGTAGGAATTGCATTGACCTGCACTGAAAGCACCTATGTTATGTATGAATCTGCCTTATTCTGAGTCAGACCACTGGCAGCATAAACTGGGAGTGGGACTCCAAGGTTTCAGACAAGCCCCTTTCCCAGGTCTACATGGGGAGCTAAGTCTGGGACCTTTTGCATGCACAGCATAAGCTCTGCCCTTGAGCTATGGTCTCCTCCCCTGACCCAGAAGAATGCATTTTCATTGTGACCTGGAAAAGGAGGAGATGGCCAAAAGCAAGGCTGACGGTTCTTGAAGAGGAACAAAGTACACAATGTTCTGGTGGGCAATTACACTAACAGTCCTCCCCACCCACTTCCTGCCTCTACACTTGTATCCAAGATATGGGCCTCAGCAGAAGGAAGGAGAGTGAAAGGGGAGGGGAGTGATATAAACCCCCTCCCAAGTACTCCAGCTTCCTCCCTCTTTCCGTCAAAGGAAAAATCTTCCTTCCTAATAAGAAAAAAGCTCCTGAAGGAGGGCAGAAACCAATGAAGGAATCTCTGAATTTTGTGAGGCCTTGTGAGTCTCAAAGAGAGCCTCTCCTAAGACTACTTGCATGGTTAGTAAGTGAAAGTAGGCAAAATATTATTGAACAAGTCTCCTGGAGCCAAAACTAAATTGAGAAACATGGCACTGGAAGAAGAAAGCTGAGCACCCTGGAGAAATGATTCATAGAATCATAGACTTGGAAGGGGCCATGAGGGTCTTCAAGTCCAGGAACCCTGAGATTAAGAGTCTGGTGCTCAATCAACTGAGCTAATGAGAAGAAGTCATGTGTTGAAGTAGTCCAGGAGATGAGTAGCAGAGTGGATTCAAACTCTCCTACTCATTTGCAAAGGAGGACCACTTTTCCATTGCACAGTTTGACATAGCAGCTTTGTTAGATTTGAAAATGGGGGGGGAAATGTAACTGGATCAGAGTGTTTTGGGCATCTAGTCCATGGGAGTCTGTTCCACTGCCGAACAGCTCTTACTGTCAGAAAGTTTTTCGAATGTTTAGTCGGAATCTCCTTTCTTGTAACTTAAAGCCATTGGTTTGAGTGCTACCTCCAGAGAAGGAGAAAACAAGCATGCTCCCTCTTCAATGTGGCAGCCCTTAAGATATTTGGAGATGGCTATCATATCTCCTCTCAGTTTCCTCTTTTCTAGGCTAAACATACAAGTGCTCCTCGTAAGGCTTAGTTTCCAGACCCTTGATCATCTTGGTTGCCCTCCTCTACACACGTTCCAGCTTGTCAGCATCCTTCCTAAATTGTGGTGCCCAGAACTGGAACGTTGTTTGACTCCAGCTCCTATTAACCCCAGCCAGCATAGCCAATGGCCAGAGATGGTGCCATCTGTATTCCAGCTACACCTGGAGGGCCACAGATTCTCCATCACATATTCTAGCTGACTACATGGCTCTTCTGCACAGTCATGGAGAAGAAGAGAAGACATTAGACAGGTGTGTCTTGAGATGCAGCAGGGATGAAGAAAACTAACCCTTCTGTCATCTCCTCTTCTATGAATGTATCTGGTCGTCCTGGAACTGAATTAAGGTTCCAGTGAAAATCTTGAAGATTTGGTTTCATTTATTTATTTATTTATTCATTCATTCATTCATTTATTCATTTATTTGAAACTCACAAATTACTTTTTTCAATAGATTTTTGTCTCCTCCACATTTTTAAAAAATGATGGTGAAAGAAAAAGGGTGTCCCGTGACTGAGTTTCCTGACTGAAGCTCCATACACCATTGTGTAACTGTTCGGTTCAAGAGACTGTATCACTACAAAACATGGATTCAAACGTTTTAAACAAATACACAGTGTCATGACCCGTTTGTTTGGATACTCTGTGCTGTCCCAGACAGGAGGGAAGCCATCGCTGAGCCCGTGAGGCATACAAGACTTCACAATTTATTAAGAAGATTAGCTGGGTTTAGCTTGTGCATTAAGAACTAGCCACTGAATGTGTGTTGTTTTAAACCATTGTGAGGTTATTGGGTTCTTTAGAAAGACCTGTTCTTTCTTCCATAGTTTGACCTGGCAAAACCATCTTTAAGTTAAATAAACAATTAAAGGCGCAGAGTAAACAAAGGCACCCTAAATATTGCAGGAGATCTCATCTCACCTTCTCTCCCCCCCCTTCTCCCCCCGCCCCCGCCCTGCTTTTGGGGCTATATTTGTAGAACTGCCTGCTGTGAAATGACAAAGTTCATGGTTCATCTGAACTTTTGAACTCAAATGAGTATTTGACACAGCAAAACAATCTAATGTGAACCTAACACAAAGTTTTCATAGTTTTAAAACCTGGCTTTCAGTTCTTTGTCTGGGGCAATTGGGTAGGAAAGTTCTTTATTGATGTTGTAAAAACTACCCATTTAATATCAGGCAGCGAGAGGGAGAGAGAGGAGAGAGGGGAGATCAGTAGAAAGAGCACCTTAGCATTTCTGAAATAGTGCTGGGCTGGTAGATCATTGAACTCTACCTGACCCCATTATGAAGGCTTCCTCAGGACAAGTTGCAGCAGCATTTGTGACAAGACCAAAGCTTCCTATCCTATTTCAAATGCTCCAGGCCTGGGAGTTAATGGAAAATGATATATTCCCTTAAAAAAAATAAAAAACGTACACACTAATCACAATTGCCTAGTGCTGAAATTCCATGTATTTACTGTCCTAAAGTTTCTCTTTGGGGGACAGAATAAAAGGGGAACGGGTGGACAAAATGCACCGTCATGTGCTTTGCTGACATCTCTTAGTAAATGATTCCCCTCGCCTTTCTCCAACCCTTATGCTGGAACTTAGCATTGAGCGAGGCATTCTGAAGGCAGTGAAGATGGGCATGAAAGTATGTCCAAACAAGGCTTGTTGCAGTCTTCTCTCCATGCCATCTCCCTAGCCCCCTCCCCACAACTAACGGAGAACTAAAATAAGAAAAAGAAATACATGCCAATTTGATTAATTTCCACAATCCATACAGGAGCATATAATCGACTGCATTCCATTTACACCAATTGCTCATTTGTTGTCTGTGTACAAACCAGGCACTGAAAGCACATGACATTAAAGCCTACAACTTTCCCAAAGAGATCCTTGAAACCATAGTTTGTTCAGGGTGCTGGGTAAACTACACTTCCCAGCAGGGATGCCAACTTGAATAAAATAGAGGGGCAGGTAAGCACCGCCCCACATAATCGATCACATGACACAGTGCACACACATCATTTGAATGGCAATGCCCATCAAGTTGGGGGGGGCTCAAATATTTTATTGGAGGGGCTGAAAACCCCTCGGCCCCTAGGAGTTGGCTTCTATGCTTCCCAGGATTTGGCGGGGGAAAGCTGTGTGCTTTAAATTTATGGTATATACGCAGCCACAACAATTTAACATGA